TCTTAAGGAATTGGCCCTCGTAGATGGTGAATCTTGCAACTTTGGCTCTTAGGCCGTGTGCTTTATTCTTGTCAATTGGAAGCTCATCATGTTCCAAGTATCTGATTATAGGGGTCATCTAGGAGTCGACTGGTTCGACATCCATTATCTCTTTAGGCTCTTTTGGGTTGGGCGACTCGTTCGTTGGATGTTTTTTCTAGTTGGTTGGCCATTGGAGGAACAATAGTAGGATGGATGACTGGAAGGAGCCTTGAAGGGCTGAGCCTAGGTTGGCAAATGTATCAGCATGGGTGTTCTCTGCTCTTAGGACTTGGGTGATAGAGAATTCCTCGAAAGCAGACTGGAGTTCTTTTACCAAGTTCAAGTAAGTTGTCATCTTCGAATCTCGGGCCTGGTAAGTCCCTTGCAGCTGGTTGACTACGAGTTGGGAATCGGATTTTACCTCCAACTTCCTTACTCTAATCTCCTTGGCCAAAGAGAGTCCGACGACCAAGGCTTTGTATTCAACTTCGTTGTTTGTGCATTTGAACCCACACCATATGGACTACTGGTGATGTCCCCTTCTGGTGTAATAAGTATGATGTCAAGCCTACTTCCATTCACATTGTTTGAGTCGTCCACTAAGAGAGTCCACCTTGAGGAGGTCCTACTATTCATGTACAACAGCTCGTTTTCCACTTGGGTGGTAGTGTTGGGGGCAAAATCAACGACGAAGTCTGTCAGCGCTTGGGATTTAATGGAGATGCATGGTTGGAAGGATACATCGAACTCATTAAGTTCTACTATCTATTGAGTGAGTCGATCTAACAACTCTGGCTTGTGAAGTATCTTTTTAAGCGAGAAGGAACTGAGGACGACTATAGAGTGGCATTGAAAATATGGTCTAAGCTTCCTTGATGCATAGATAAGGGCGAGTGTTAACTTCTCCAGCTGGCTGTATCGCGTCTCGGCGTCAATGGGTGATTTACTTATATAGTAAACTGGTAGCTGCTTCGCATTGTCTTCTCGGACTAACACTGGTAAGACAGCTGTTTCCGAGACTGCCAGATAGGTGTAGAGTTTTTCCCCAACCAAAGGCTTGGAAAGAAGTGGAGGAGAAGTCAGGTACTTCTTCAATTGCTGTAGGGCTTCTTCGCAAGCGGGGGTCCACTCAAACTTCTTGGATTTCCTGAGCACGGGGAAGAAGAAGTTGCACTTGTCAGTAGATTTGGAGATAAAATGGCTCAAGGCAGCCATTCGTCCTGCAAGGCGTTAGATGTCTTTGATGCAAGTATGTTCAGGATTGCCTGAATCTGGTCAAGATTGGCTTCTATCCCGCACTGAGTCACCATGTATCCCAAGAATTTACTTGATGAGACACTGAACGAACACTTGGCTGGGTTGAGCTTCATGTTGTATTTCCTGAGAATAGCGGATGCTTGACTAAGGCGGTCGAGGTGTTGTTTGGCCATAAAAGACTTGACAAGCATGTCCTCAATGTATAATTCCATGGTGTCCCTAAGGTGTTCAGCAAACATTTTGTTGACTAGCAACTGGTAGGTGGCCCCCGCGTTCTTAAGTCCAAAAGGCATTACTTTGTAGCAATAGACTCCCCTCTCTATGATGAAAGCTATTTTTTCCTAGTCGTCTGGGTGCATCAAAATCTAGTTGTACCTCGAGAAGGCATCCATAAAACTTAGGAGTTCATGGTCAGCAGTCGCGTCGACCATCATGTCGATGTGTGGGAGTGGGAAGGAATCCTTGGGGCATGCCCTGTTCAGATCTATAAAGTCTATGCAAACCCTCCATTTTTCGCTTTTTTTCTTCACGACCACCACATTTGCTAGCCAATCTAGATAATGGACTTCTCTAATCAATCTGTTACTCAGTAGCTTGTCAATTTCCTCATTAATGACCCAGTTGCGTTCTGGAGCGAATTTCCTTCGTTTCTGCTTCACTAGAAGGTGGTTTGGATTTATGTGAAGGTGGTGGATGATCGCCTCGGGGCTGACACCCATCATGTCTGTGTGGGACTAGGCGAAGCAATCCTGATTCTGTTTGAAGAAGTCTATAAGTCACTATTTTATCTCGGGCTTGAGGCGAGCGCCTATCTGGGTCTTTCAGTCAGGTTGGTCTGAGTGTATCTGCCCTTCATCCAACTCTTCTATTAATGGTTGATCTGGCTCGGTCAAAAGAGTTGGATGGTTCTGTAGTTGCTATGAAGCATGAGTCTTGCCTTTGAAGGCGTTCTTGTAGTAGTCTCTCAAAGCCTTAGGGTCACCCTTGATTTTTCTTACTCCTCACTTCGTTGGAAACCTGATAATCTAATGGAAGGTAGATGGGACAGCTCACATGTCATGGATCCAGGGTCGACCTAAGATGACATTATAGGGTGAGGGGCAGTCAAGCACCAGAAAGGCAGTTTGCTTGTTGGCTCCATTGGCATAGATAGGCAAGGAAATTTCTCCAATGGTGTACTTCTGCTCAAATCTGAATCCAACCAGAATGGTTGGGCGTTTGTTGATATTTGACTCATCTAGTCTCATGACTTTCGCTACTTCAAGAAAGAGGATGTTTGCTAAAGATCCCCAATCTACGAATATTCTCTTGACTAGGATGTTGACGATTTGGAGGGAGATGACTAGAGCATCGTGATGAGGGGCGGCTAAGGTGGCTGGCTCGTCATCTTCAAACTAAATGATCTGGTTGGTATGTACCCAAGGAGATGGGTGGATAGACAGGACTTCTAGGTGATGGCTACCTTGAGCGTGCCGTTTGGTCGAGAAATAACTAACCCCGCTGATTTTCACCATCTAGAGATAATGGAGCAAAACCCCTTCGGAGTTGGTTCTTGAGGAGGGGTAGATGTTTCTTTCGAGTTTCTCTGGCTGACCATATTCTTCCCTCTATTTGTCAACAGGTCCCGGAGATGTCCCCTCTTCAATAGTGCTGCTACTTCCAGTCTTAGGGCCATACAATCGGCAGTGTTGTGACCATGGTCGTCGTGAAATTCGCACCACTTAGTTGTGTCCCTCTTTGCATTGGGATTGAGCTTGGCTGGCCACTTCACGGTGGGTCCCATCCCCTCATGATAGTCACGACCTGAGCTAGTTCAATGTTGAGGTTTTACTCTGGAATCTTGAATTGGTTTGATCCGGATGGCCTATTTGTGGCCTTGGCTAGCTGGCGATCATATGGCCTTTTGATTCTACTCAAATTGAGGGACAATGGTTGATGTCGGGGCTCATATGATCTAGATTCTAGCTTTCTTTCACTCCGCTTTTGGTGACGGTCATCATATCTAGCATTTCTCATTCGATTCGCCTCATCTTCCTCCTATCTGATCTGGATCACTACTATGGCTAGGGCATCTTCCATTGAGATACAACCAAGTTTAGTTAGGTCTTTGTTTAGTTCTCCATTAGGAAGGAGACCCTTTCTGAAAACATCTACCGTTGTCTCTGGATTGCAGGATGGGATGGAGACTTTTTATTTATTGAATCTGCTGACGTACTCTCTCAGCGGCTTCCCCCTCTCTAGTAGACTCTGTATAGGTCGGCTGATAGCTTCTCGAGTTTCTTGCTGCTAGCGAATTGCTCAACAAAGATGTCGGTGAGCTGGGTGAATGAGCTGATTGAGTTGTTTGGAAGATTTATGTACTACTGAAAGGCTGCCCCAGAGAGGCTAGAGCCGAAGCTTTTACACATACAGGCTTCCTTCAGACGAATTAGGATAGTAATAGATCTCTTTGATAGAATCCGGATAGTGCCGGAGTAAGTAGGCAACCCTGGGGTCCAAGTAGACACTAAGTCCAATAGGTGGTCTTGGATCACTGGGCTCGGACCCAGACAAGCTGATGATGAGGTCCAAACGAATCAGGGCTTTTATTGATTGGACTCAAGTAGTGAGCAACATGGTTGGTGTAATGAGCAGGCCTAATATGCGAACCCTGTCATGGGCCTAATCGGAATTGAGTCATGACTTCGAGCTTTGTTGAAGGTGTCTTCCCCTTAGACCTATTGAGGCCAAGGGCTTTTTTGGCCCTAACAAGTAGCTAATTACAGTTAATTCCAATTTGAAACCTTCTTGATACGATACACCACCTTCTCTTCTTCAACACCGCTGGGATTTTAATTTAATTTTGAATTTATTTGAGAAAATATTTGGGTATGTGAAGAGATGATGATGACTATAGTTTATAAATATAAAGATATAAGATGAGAAATCGAGGCTGGCCCCGGCCGGATGCATTAACTTTCATAATTTTGTCCTCTCTCGTCACCCATCTCCATTCTCCCTCTTCTTTATTCAAACCAAAATCATTTATTTAATTAAATTTAAAAAAATTAAATCATAATTTTTGGGATAAAATTTGACACTTGCTCCAAAAGGAGAGTGTGGATAAAATGTTAAAAGAGAAGAGTGATGTACAAATATATTTGACATAAGAAAGGGAAATGAAGTTGGAGGAGTGCAAGAAAGAAAAACAAAAGCAGTGGCAGCAAAAGCAACAGAAACGGAACAAAGTGAAAATTTAAAAAAAAAAAAAAAAATTGATGTGAAAACAAAACGGGATATGATCGGTCTCATATTCTGCTGCCTGGTATTAAGGGGTTTCTCTCTTTTTTAGCAAAGAATCACTATAGTTCTCTTTCTTTCCCCATTTTAAATCATTATAACTCTTCTTCTTTCATATTTACACAACCCACCCAATTCAATGACTCTCTTAACTCTTTCCTCTTCCTTCATGGCTCAATTACCATTTCCCTCTTCTTGAACTAGGAGCACGTACGCATTGATACTAGGATTTTAATTTTAGTTGATATTGATATTTACACTTGGCAGGTTGATCGGTTAATGAGAAAAACTTTGTTAGTTCTTTTAATTTAAACAAGCATTCATTCCCATTAAACGTGCTCCAGAAGTATCCGGAATAGATACAGATTATAACTAGAGTTTTCAATATTTTTAAACAAGAAGGCCCAAAAAGATTGGAGCCATTATTCTCAAACGATTACACAACACTGATACAAGGTAAAAGATGAATACACCATTCTTCAAATGTCAACAATATTATAATAATATTCTCCCGCAGAATTTAGTTTAGATCCAGAGGATTGTCCACAGATTGCTCATCCATGAAAGCGTTGGGGTTATCAGTGTCTGTATCAGTAGGAAAAGTCCTGCCCAGTCGCTTCTTCGGGATGTTTATCCTGGAAACTCCCTTGTGCAATCCAGGCATCTTCAAGCCCTCTATGAAACTCAGAGCTCGACGAAGTACAGTTATTACCAAAGTCGCCGTTTGAGTACAGGGAGGAATAGGATCCTTGTTGTGGGTTAATTTGCCAATGCGGTGTGGACACTAAGCTCTGATTCAGCAAATAACGCCCTAATAGTGCAGTGAATTGCGCAAATAATTCTGCAACTTGAGGATGTACCTGAAATACGGAAGAGGAGACAAAGCAAGCATTAGTTGTATAAACAAGTTTTTTATATATGCACCATATATATGTGTAGCTTGATACTAAATCTACCATAACGTACACATGCTTATCCTCACCATTAAACAAGTATTTGGCGCAAAATGATTTCTTGGATCAGAAAAGAAATTGTTATTTGACAGCAGCTGATCATGTCCTACCTAGAATAAGAATATAGATGAACAAGTATTTTAGTTGTGTAAATACATTTGTCATAGAAAATATTTATTCAGTTAATACTAAAAACTATCATAAGGAAGCATGTTCATCCTCATACCATGGAAGAAGTATTTGGCACTAAATAATTTCTTGAATAATCAGAAACCAAATTCTGATTTGATAGTAGCTGAGATTCTACCTGCTGTAAATGAAAAACATCGTCAACAAACAAGCCTTAGTCCACTGTGAATCTGTTATTCATGCACTACATCCATATATAAGTTGATTTAAAAGCTACTATGAGTCATGTGCATACTAACCATTGAAGACGCAATTGGTGCATAATGATTTATTGGATCAAAAACCATATTTTGATTTGATAGTAGTTGAGGTCCCACCTGCCGAAGAAAAAATTGAATTGAAACTGTGTGAATATATTTTTCATTTACAATATATATAACTTGTTATTACTAAAAAACAACTAGCATGTTCATCCTCACCATTGAAGAAGTACATGGTGCAGAATTACTCATTGGATCAAAAGCCAAATTCTGATTGGATAGTAGTTGAGATTCTACCTGCTGTAGATGAGAAACATCCACAAACAAGCATTAGTCCACTGCGATTCTGTTATTCATGTTACATCCATATAAAAGTTGATTAAAAAAATACTATGAGTCGTGCATACTCACCATTGAAGAGGTAATTGATGCAGAATGATTTATTGGACCAAAAACCATATTTTGATCATTTGATAGTAGTTGAGGTCCCACCTGCTGAAGGAAAAATTAAAACAAGACAAACATGAATTGTGTGAATATATTTTTCATTTACCCCATATATATATATATATATATATATATATATATATATATTTTGTTAACAATAAGAAAAAAAAGTGTGTTTATTCTCCTTATTATNTTGAGTAATTTGAAACATGTAAATTACTATTTTAATCTTTTATTGTTAAAAGAAATTCAATAAATTAATTAAGAGGTGTAAATTAGAATATATAAAACTAGAGATACAAACTTGCTATTTCATCAAACTTTAGATGAAAATATATATATTTATAATAAATTTAGATCCTTTTAGGTTTTTTTTTTTTATCGGATAAAAATATATTAAAAAAATTGGGCCCCTATTTTTCGGGGCCCTAGGCAGGTGCCTCACCTGCCTCACCTGCCAACCCCTTTAGCGGGGCCTGTTCGTATCGAAGATTATAAAAAAAAGGTTTCTGAGATTGGATCGCTTTTTATTGAGGCTGCAAAATTTAACCGCCCGGCCAACAATAGTAATGAACTATCCTGCTGGATCTGCAACTGCCTATGGTTATAGAAACGGTATTCTGATTTTATATCTGTGTATCACAATTTTGGTTTTCCATTTATTCTAAAAAAGTAGCATATGGCATTGAACGTATTGTACACAATAGAGAGGGATTTTATTAAATAATACTTGGGATCTCCATTGGCATTCACCATGGATATTACACCATAACCAAACCAAACCAAAACACATAAACAACCTCTCGCTAACCCCATTCACCTGCGATCCAAATTTTCAATTTCTTATCAGTAAGCAAATAACATCAAAATACAGAAATAATAAAACAATCTGCAATTGAACGTATGATTTTCTTTATACCTAGATAGGGATGTTTAATCGCTGTCGCTGTCGCTGCTGCTGTGGCCATCCTCGTGCTTCTTCTTCTTCTCCTTCTTCTTTTTCTTATTCTCTTCGCCATGTCCATGTTGATCACCTTGGCCATGGATCTTGTCCTTGATCTTCCCCACCATTCCCTCTTTGTGCTCCCCATGTTCAGGCTTGTGTTCGCCGTGGTGCTGCTCCACCTTGTGAGCTTCTCCATGATACTCCCCCTTGTGCTCCCCCTTGCGCTCTTCCTCCTTCTTCTGCCCTCCCATGTGGAGAGTCTCCTGAACCTTGTGGATAATTCCTGACATTTTGTTTCTTGATTTGCTTTCAATCAATTAAAAAACTTCGAGTAATGAATGTTGGTGTGAAAACGTATGCACATCTTGATTTCTATTTATAGGGAAAGTTTGAGGTAAAATATCTTTGATTCTTTTTAAATTACAACTTTATCCGTATTGTTTTGTAAATATCATAAAGACCTCTTATATTTTAAACTATAACTCCATAAGGGGTGAATTTGATAGTAAACACAAACTTTAGGGAAAACATGACATTTTAGAAAGAAATTTTTTTTGGTAATTTTGGTATGTATGACAATAAAATAAGATTTGATTAAAGAAGATTATCTGCTGGTGTATGAGTGAATTACGTAAATGCCCATAATACGTGTACGCGGCGTGTTGATGTACTAAGTGGAACTGTGGAAGTGGTATTATATTAAGAAAATATGAGATTCACAATATGCAGACACGTGTCAAATAAAGACAACGAATGTATTGTGGGCATATGCCGTATAGGCAGTTAAACATGTTCTTTCCGAGACCGCTTTTAAGTTCTTGTCCTTATCAATGTTGCTTAAATTTTTTTTTTTTTAATAATCGAATCAATTTATAAGTATTTTAATTTGAGATTCTAAAACTATAAATTGGATAAAAATTATAAAAATTACCTCTGTTAACAGTTATTTCATATTGATTCTTCTCAACTTCAAAATTTATAATATTTGAAATTTCATATAATAATTATAAAAAATAAAACATTGTTTCAAGTTTACTTTACACTTTTGCTGTTAGAACAGGATAAAGTGGATATTTGATAGAACAGGGGAGATGTGGATAGGGCATAAAGGGAAAGGCATTGTTGGGGGCCATCTGATAAGGCTATAGTGCCACTAAGATGTTTATGACTTTCTGTCATTTCACGTGATTCTGACACCTGTACCAATCACTTCGTCACCGAAAATAAGGAGCTGTTATAGAATTGGGGGCCATCCCGGCCTTTATTCCTTCTTGGGATTCTATTACTTTATTTTATTTTATTTATGTCGGCTAAAACAGTTTCAGGTCCATTTGGTTTATTATTTTGGATAAGATTTTTGGAATAATATTGAATAGTTAAATAAGAGAGTATTACGAGATAAAATTTAAAAATTTATAAAAAGCCCTCAAAATTTGCTAATTTAATAAACACCCTAATATATTAAAATATTGTAAAATGACAAAAATACCCCTAACACCCAAAGTGCCAGATTCCAGTCACCACCACCAGAATCTGGCCGAAAAATTGGATAACCGTAAAATCCGGTCGGATCTGACGGGTATTCGATCGATATAGCCTTTTCCGACCATATCCACCACAGATTTGGCCGAAAAATGCCAGATCTAAGGCCGGATGTGGCCTTCGACGGCCGGAAAATGCCAACTTTAGCCGTCAGCGATGGCCAAAGATATGGCCGTCGTTGTCTGTCAACGATGGCCAAGATTTGGCCGTCGCTGACAGCCATATCTGGCCGAAAAAGGTCAGATCTAGCCATTACCGGCCATTTTCGATGGTCTTGTCACTGTTGTGATAGATTCCGGCTACCACTGACGGTGGTTTCCGGAATCTGGCAAGTATTGTGGGTGGGGGTGTTTCTGTTAGTTTTTAAACTTTTTTTCTGGAGGGTATTTAATGAGATTAATAAACTTATGGGGTCTAAAAGTAATTAAAAAAATAGACTAATATTTTGGGAATAACGTGCCAAACAACATTTGAAGAATAAGATTGGGAATATGGATAAAAACAATAAGCCAAACGCACTTCAATATTCCTTTTTGGAGTGATTTGTGAGAATACCTTAGGTGTATTACTAAAGAGATCTCGACTTTGAATTTCTTCTCAAATACTAATAGGGTAGTCACTGAAGCTTCTACTTAACTGATAGTCTAGTAGTTCTAAGTATGAGTGTTCAAAAGAACCAATTAGAACCAGAACCAACGGGTATTCTGGGTTTGGTTTCGGTTCCTACTCGGAACCGGTCGTCAACGGATAGGTTTCGATTTCAAATTTTTGGAACTGCTACTGTGCGATTCTGATTCCGGTTCCTATAGTTAGGAACCAGAATCGAAATCGGGAACCGAAACAAATATAAAATAAAATTAAAAAGGGGGTTAATAAAAACTTTTATAGAAAAAAAGTAACGTGAATACATTTATATTTATATTTCATAACATTTAAAGTAAGTTGGTTTGACTTTTGAAAATCTACTTTTACAATGTAATGGAGTTTGTAATTTTGAATTTTGAATTTATAATTTGTAATTTTATTTTTGTTAACAAATGCCAGGTGGTGGGTGTTTATAAGATTTTAAGGGTTTTTTTGCCTTTTGAAAACTTTTGGGGGGTAATTATAATTTTATAGGATACCCAAAACTAGAATCAGAACCGAAATCGTTGTTCCAGTTCTGGGTACCTAGGAACCGGAATTGTCAATTTCGATTCCGATTCCAATTCTAAATTTCAAGGAACTATCGGTTCCTTCAAAAAATACAGGATACCAAAAACCGAACACCTCTAATTTTAAGGTCTCAAATGATTAATTGAGACGTCCATAAGTTAACCAGACACCTCGATCATCCCAAAAAAAAAAAAAAAAAGACTTTACTGCAAAATGGAGATTATTGTATAAAACAAATACAATCAAAACCAATAATCATAATTTATATTAAAAAAATTGACATGGGCTTTGTAGTTCAACCCAATTATCAAATAAAGCCTACTTAAAATTGGGCCGAGCTATGAAGCCCATGCCACTTTCACTTGAATGTAACTGATCCTTCCGTCAATTAGGAAACAGTCAAACCCAATAAGATGTTAGATCTTATTATTAATAAATTTAGATGTTTAGGTCCATATGTGTAGGATTATTCCATGTTTTGTTTGAAAACTAATTGAATTCGTGCCAACCCTTGAGGAAGAGGGACAAAAACATCACTGTTTGTGTTTGTTTAAATTGTGAATGCCTCAAATCCAAATGTGTGCTCTGTGGCAAAGGAATCCAGTCAATGTATTTACTATTTGTCTACATATAATTTCTGTATCAATCACCTATAATCCCAGTCAATGTAATTTCTGTATAATTTATTTATCAAACAAGGAATGTGTGTCGTTTTGGGTCCCTTTTGAACGGGCCTATCATTTTACTCGACCACAAAATACAGCCAATAATAAGATGGCACTATCATTTACTTGGCCAACCATAATTATAAATACTGAATAAGACAATGTAAATTTTTATGATAATAATAGGGGAAGGTGATGTTGCTTTCCTCTTGGTTGAATTTTGGTGTTTTGCTTTTTAACATCTGACGAATTATGATGACCTGGTCTTTGATTTCATAATTTGGCTTGCCTCACACAACGCAACCAATTGGGTGGAACTGGAATTGCAACCATCTCTGGTTATTGAGTGATTCGATAAGAACTCTTGGATGTATTACTTAAGAGGTGTTGAGTTTAAGTCCCTTCTCGGTTGCTAATGGGATAACCACTGGAGCTCTTATCCGATCGATAGTTTCAGAGTATTGAAAAATGAATTAAAGTACGCATAAGGTGATCCG